CACAGGGAATATTCACTCTACAGGTCCTGTTTTATTGAATTTTATTTGCTTTTTATATGAGAAAATACATGTTACATAGTGTGAATTTTAAAATCACAAGCTGTGTGAATTTTTATGAAGACAGATGCCAAAACAGCTCACGAAAATACATGTTACATAGTGTGAATTTCTATGAAGACAGATGCCAAAACAGCTCAGCACAGCTCACTGTGGGGTGCGGCCTAGTTCGAAGTGGGCCTCGTATGCCAGCAGGTAGGCGTCGTTGAACATGTAGAGCTGCTTGTTGGTGGGGTTGTAGCTCAGACTGGACACTCCTTTGGCTATCTTCTCTATGGGCACTGCCAGAGTGTTATCCTCGTTGCCTGTAGCTGTGTCGAAGGCGTAAAAGACCTCCTCACGGTATTTGTCAACGAAGCGCGTGGCGTACATCACACCGCACGCCATGAAGGCATTGCTCACCGCCTTCTTAAACTGTTGGGTCTCCCACGTCTGAGTGACATTCACCGTCTCCGAGTTGCTGTCCCAAATCAGACGGCTCACCACCAGGTTACCGTGGTTACCCATCGTGGCATAGATGACCCACAGTCCCGTCTCGTCCACTTCTATGTCTATGTCGCTGTAATCGCGACACTCGTAGTAACAGTACGGGAACTTGTTGTTGAAACCCACCTCTGTGCCTGGGAGCGTGACCCGTTTGACGGTGTTGGTTGTTAGGTCGTAGCGGCAAACGTCGGCAGAGCGGTAACAGTGGTAGTAGAGAGCATCGCCGTACAGGACGGCACTGGGGCCCTCGATGGAATTGGAATGGGAGACCGACGGAGCGAAGCTGTAATCTCTGTGGTTAGTAGACGCCATGAAGTCTTCGTACGTCTTGTAGACCCGTAGAACGTTTCCAAAAGCGTGGCTGTTGGTCAGAGGCTGGACCCAGTAGCGGTCGTCCACCTCCTCTGTCTCTCCCTCTCTCTCCTCCTGTCTATAGCCCTCCACCTCCTTCATCTGGGCCTGTTTGCCCCAGGAGCCAGAGATGGTGCTCTTACCGTAGGGGCTGACCTTGCTTATGACGGCAGCACTGATGTTTCTGAGCAGGCCTTTAAGACAGTACTTGTCCTTGCCTAGAGACAAAAAAATCATCAACTGTGAACAACACAAACTTTTTGTCGTTTTTTACTGATGGACATCAGGTTTGTTCATCTTTTGAACACAATAATAACTAAAATGAATAAATTCAGTCCTTATTCGTCCCTCAATGAGGAAACTTATAGTGTGAGTCTTTGCAACCAACACAGGCTGCCAACAGGAGGCGCCTTTTAGGTGGCTCCTCTGGGAATCAATATGAGTAAAGAATATGAATCAACAGTTTTGTACTGATAAAACTGTTGATTCCAGACCCACCTCTGAAGTCTTGGGGGATGGACCTGCAGGACTGGGCTCGGTTCTTCAGGGAGCGCAGTCTCTCTTTGACCGTCCTCATGTTATTAGTGTCAGTCATGGTCATCCTGGATACATCGCTGCGCAGTTTCACCACCTGACAGCAATTCAGAAGAACAGTCACAGATCATGTTTACTACACTGTGCTGCTTCACTCCACCTCAGTTCTACTGTCGTACATCTTTAGAGAGTTTCTGTGTTTCGCCGCTTCCAAACTCGTCGTGGAGGGACTCCACATCCTCTGCCAGGTTGCTGAGCTGTTGTTGCAGTTTCCTCAGAGCCAGGTCACTGTACAAGCCCTGGTAATGCAGGAACTGGTACGGCTCCAGCCGGGCTGTCACGTTGATGATCAGATCCCAGACCTGAGGGAGGCGCTGGAGCGACCGACTCACCTGGAAGGAAACACACAACTGAAGGTTGACGCAGGACGTGGACAATTTACAGAAATGTCATTTAGAGTCGACGTGAGAACCTACCTTTTCCTGCAGTTTGTACAGAGAATCGTTACATGTCAGAACACTGTGCATTGTCTCTTCGTACTTCACAGCAGGAAACATCCACGCGGTGGTGTCCACCTCACACATGCAGGCGTCGTCTTTCTTCACACCCTGGACACGCTGGGCCCTGACGACACCCTGCAGTCAAGAAAACATTTGTATTAATACACAATACAATGGTACACAGAAGGAAAAAAAATCAGTCAGTAATTTTGGGCTGATGTTTTCTGACTGGTTCGACTCACAGTCAGGGACAGCATCAGGAGCAGCGTCCACAGCAGCATGATCAGAGCTGGACCGTTCACAGAAAGAAGCCGTGGGTTCTGTAGTAACCTGAGCGTCCGTCTCCGTCCTCTCATATACACAGCCCAGAAACCTCTGCTGACACAGCTTCAAATCCACCAACATTGATGTCAAACTTCCCTAAAATCTGTTTCTTAATTATTAAAACCCCTCACGTTTGTTTTTGCAACAACCAGATCCTCTTTTGTTTTTTGGTTCCTCGTTACCAATTTCAAGGATTGCAAAAGAAACCACAAAAGCACGTAAAAATAGACAGATCAGTTAGTGTGATCCAGGCTAAAACAAAAAACACACACATATGTGCGATTTCTTACTGTGATTGCAATATTATTTGTAGCTCAGCTACCACATACTTCTGTATTATTGTGTGAGGTTTAGTTTAATTTTCTTCCCATAGCAACAATAGCCACATACTTCTGTATTATTGTGTGAGGATTAGTTGCAGCTTTAAACTCATCCAGTTTAGCATCACTACATAGCAACAATAGAAAAAAATATACAAATATTGACTCTTTAAAGGAAGGAGGGAAAGTGAACTACTTGTCATTGTGACACAGCCTCAGTTTTTAACCCATCACCAAAGCCAACCTGGAAGCTGGTGGACTGGAACCTGAAGCCTTATGGACCCAAGTCCACTTCCTTAACCACCAAACCACCACTGCACCACGTTTGAAACCTCAGAGTGTTTCCTAAACTGAAGTGAAGTAAAAACACATTCTTAAAAGTAAGGAATCACACCAAGGTAGAGACTTAATTAACGGATAATAAATGAACTCATAATGAGTATTTAATCTGCTCCACGCCAGGGGTCGTCAACCACGAGGTCAGGGACCAATACTTGATATATGGGCTGCTACAAGTTGTAAAGAACACTTCACCGCTAAAACAACAACTTCAAACTGCAGAAATAATCAAGACTTGGAGAACTTTGAAATGATTGCATATTTATGCTTTGTTGTTGTTTTGTTTTTTTAGAATAAAATTTAATTTCTTAAAATCAGTGAGATTAGGAAATGTGTTGTGGATTTTATAGTTTTTTATCCACAGTTTGGGTTCATTGTTAGAAGGCCAAAATTGTGTGTTTTAGGCTGTTCTAATCTGGAGAAATTCCAGAAACTAATTTTAAGAGTCTTTCTTGGTCTCTCTCTCTGTCTCTCTCTCTCTCTGTCTCTCTCTCTCTCCCATTCCCAGTCATTGGACATGACACATAAACACAGAACGAACCACAAATGGTCCGTTCACAGCGTGTGAAATCCCGTTATTGTGATCGGTGAGAAAAAACCTCTTCCTCAATTTCCTCACGTGTGAAATCCCGTTATTGTGATCGGTGCATTTTTAGAAAAAAACTCTTCCTCAATTTCCTTACACACACACACGTCTTATGTAACACAAGTTACAGAACATGAGAACACATTTGCTGATGTGCAACTAAATAACCTGTAGATAATCTGTTATGTATTTAAGTCCATTGTCAAAATAAATGCTGTAAACATTCTAAATATTTATATTTTTGCAAGATTTAAAAAATGGGAAAGTGTAAAAATATTGATAAAAGAAATGAAGCAAAACAAAAAAAAAAACAACTACTGACTGTCAAAATCCAATTTAAAACTGTTAAGTAAGTTAACAGTTTGGTAACACGGGCAACGGCAGGAAGTTTGGCCAAACAGGAAAGCTCATTTCAAAAAAATGTTTTTGCTGATTGGAGCAGTTACTCAAGGCGCAGGGTTTGAGGCAAAGATGCTTCTTGTCTATTTTGCCTGTTTATTTCTGATGTGGTGCTTTTTGTTTTTTGGAACCCCAGAAAAAGACCGGAGTTGCGTAACTCACTGTTACGAAATCCAGATTTGGAAATTCAAACCACAAGGAGGAAGCAGCACAAAGAAATCTGGCAAATCAAAAACACACAAATATCTCACACTCACTAACTCACTCACTGACAGGGTCAGTGTTCAGTGGTCAGTGTTCTCTCTGCTCCACCGCGATGCTGTTGGTTATCGTTCCACTGTGGGCTCTGCTCGCCGTCACAGAGCAGGTAAGACAACCGAGACACAGAACCACGGTCGTCTTCTCTAAAGCCAAAAACCTTTGAACACTTGTGGTTTATCGCTTCTTTTTCTTCAGTCACCTTCAGTTGAAAGCTGCATGTGTGAGTGGACCAATTCTGAAAGACCATTTCCTTTCGATCAACTCAACATGGTGGAGGCCACAGCGTCTAAATGCAACAGTGAGATGCCCCTAAAGAAGGTAACAACTCCACGCCATCTGAGTTCAACCTCAACTGCAACTGTAAAACCGACTCAGATGGGACCATATTTCTTAAAAAAATCTCTCTCTGTCTCTCTGTCTCTCTGTCTCTCTGTGTCTCTGTCTTTGCTGCAGAGTCAGGCGTTGGAGGCGATGCTCTCGGGTTTGGAACGGCGTCTGCTACAGCTGCTGGAAGACGTGTCAAAGCTGGAGAAGGAGAAGGACGAAGGTCTGTATGGAGTTCTGAGTCTACAGGTCATAGAGAACGAGATGAAGGACATCAATCAGCTGACTGACAATCTCAACAGCACCACCCAGGGACACCGACGCCTCACTCTGGAAACCAGTCAACAGGTATGCACCCGTGTAAAGATCACACTGGGAACTCTGGTGGCTGTGTCGGTGATTTTGAGATCTGCTGTGCCGTGTGTCGTGGCAGGTTAGGGAAATGAAAGCAGTGATGGAGCAGCTGGAAACGTACGACAAGCTGCACGTGGTGAAGACAGAAAGTTCAAACACACGTCTGCGCAGGGATTTGGAAAACTGCAGGAATGAAATTCATCCTGAAGTTCAACCCACTCATCCGTATCAGGGTAAATATAACATATATGGATGGCCACATGGTGGCGTAGTTGTTAATACCTACCCTGGAAGTCCCTGCACTGTTTAAGAAAAACATTGTCTATTTAGTTCCTGGAAAATTAATCTCTTTGCATGTCAGGTTAGGACAGGCATGGGCAAACTAAGGCCCGGGGTCCGGATGCGGCCCGTTCAGCTTTTTAATCCGGCCCGCCGAACCTTTCCAAATATAATTTATTTAATATATGTATATCTTTATACTTCTGCCTTTTCTGCCTTAATACTATTTAAGAAAACATTTTATATTATTGTTATAAAAATGGGTAAAACAATCCAGCGAGGGACAAAGAGAGACATGGTGTCCAGTGGAAAAATGGAGCAGGGTTGAACACTCGTAACTCCATGTTTCTTTGTATCAAGAGCAAAGTCTTGCAGTAGTTTCAGACTGGCGTCTCGGCGGTCCACTGTATTATAAATTGTCTTATTTTTTTTTTTTTCTCTCCC